CAGACTCGGGGGCTCTGCTTGGCCAGCGAGCCGCCCCTCCGCCCAGGCTCCCTCCCGCCATTCCTTAGAGCGTGCACCGCCTCGCCGCCCTTCCTACCCTCTTCCGTGGGCCTCTCGTCTGCGCTTGGCTCCGGCAACTCTGTTCTGCTAATCCTCTGGTGGTTTTCTGGGTTATTTAGGCAGGTGTAGGTGGAATCTAGGTGATCAGCAGGACGCGCAGTGAGCCCAGCATCCTCCTAGGCTGCCATCTTCCCTCTTTCCCCAAAAATATGGAGATTTAATTGGTCTCAAGATCCTTGTGTTCTAGCTGTAAGCTGGTGGAAATCATCAGGACTAGTAGATTAGCCTCACTTTCCTCTCCTTATAGGTCCATAGCAAGGCTTTATGTCCCCACTTCCTTTGAATTTAAATGAGACCAATTGACTTGTTTTGAAAAATTTAAGAGCCAGTTCAAAATTTACCATTTTTTCTGTGTTGTTGACTGGAATCAGGTATTATAGCAAACTTCCTGTCAACCTGGATCCCTGAATGACTGTGATAAGCAGGGTACTCCGTATCCATCCATACTGAATATTAAGTGTGAGTGAGAGATAAACCTTTGTTATGTTGAGTCACTGAGATTTTGGAGTTGTTAGTGCAGCATAATAGAGCCTCTATTGTCTGGTGTATTGCCCCCACTCCAACTCCAAAATAAGCGAAACTCAATTTTAATATTCTTTTTAAAAAGTTTTGTATAGAATTAATAAGGTAAAGTAATATTGAACCACTTTAGAGTATTAAATCATATCTGAAGCATTGGCTTAATTCTGGGTACTCTATGCTAACTAATTTGGATGGCCAAATTAGTTAAGATGAACTTAAACTAGAATGAATATAGGGGAAAGGACCACAATGGTAACAATCTAGAAAAGACATAGATGATAAATTCTTAAAAGAACTAGGACATAAAGACTACCTTCAAGTGCCTTGAGGAACTAGAAAAGTTTAAAGAAAAATATAAGATAGATTTTGTGTAGGTCCAGCAAGTACAACTAGAACAATACTGCTGAGTTTAAATAACCATTTAATGACTTTCTATTGTCAACAAAACCCGAATTCACTTTAGCACAGAAAGCTTTCTGTACCATTCAGTTGTCAATTTCTTCATCCTCATCTTTTACTATTCCCTCATATATTTGTTTTGATTCAGCAGAAACAAATTTAGTAGAGTTCTCAAATGTGTCATACTTTCAGTGATGTTCTTTGACCTGCAATGCCTTAAACTTTCTCTCTTTGTGATACAGTTCAAGCCATACTTCCTCTAGTATGCACTGCTTTGCTGACCCTTCCTACTCTCTTCCTTACTTTCTACCAGATGGAATTAGATGCTTCACATTCCTGCTCCTATAGTACCCATGCATAGGTGAAAGCCACAGGGAGACAGATATTGGTACAATAAGGACATCTCAAAATATGAGAATCCTAGTAATTACTTATGAAATAATGAATTCACTATTGCTGGAAATATTAGAAGAAAGGTATTTCCACTTAATGAAAGTTTGAGTTAGATGACATCCTGCTCCTTTCAAACTCTACAAATCTATGTAAACATAAGGTTGATTTTATGAGGTCCAGGGTACAGATTCCATGGTAAAATGTATTCACCATATGGAGATATCGGAATCAAATTAGTAGTGCTTAGTAAAAAGGTTTTTTTGAGTATCTGATCAATATTGACATGCTTCGATCTCTGTTTTCCTGGGTTTTAATTTTTTTTCTTTTTCTGTGAAGATCTTTTATTCGAGATGAAAAATACCTTTGATGCAAAATCGGACTTTTCCTCAAGTCTAATTTTTTTCAATGTTTATTTATTTAATTTTGAAGAAGAGAGAGAGAGCATGTGAGCTGGGAAGGGGCAGAGAGACAGGGAGAGAGAAAATCCCAAACTGGCTCTGCACAGTCAGTGTAGAGGCTGACCCAGCGCTTGATCACACCGCCATGGGATCATGACCTGAACCAAAATCAAGAGTCAATGCTTAACTGACTGAGTCACTCAGGCACTCTTCAAATCTAATTTTTTAAATAATAGTAATAACTTCTTGCCTCTCTATGAATATTTAATTCCTTACTTTGCTATTTTGTATACATACTTTAATTCATTTAACCTTAATGTAAATGCCATAAGCTCTATAGAACAGGAATTACATCAGGAATATGGGATTTATCAAAAGGCATGTAGTTAGGTACAAGAGGAACTGTACTAGAATGGAACTTGTCCTTCATACAGGTTCTGAAGTATGTTTTAAAAAGCATACATCCTAAGTGGAGAAATATGCTCCTAGGTGGGAATATTAATTACTAAGATTCCAATTTATCCCATCTTCATTTTTAGGTTTAACACAATTACAGTAAAATTACCAATGAGTTTTTTTTAATGTGACAGAATAATTCTAAAATTTACTGTGAAGAGTAGAAAGGCAAGAATCCATAAGAACTTATCAGAGAAAAAGGAATAATAAAAAAGCCATTAGTCATTAAAGTTTATTAATATCAATAATTAAAACAGTATGACACTATTGTAAGAATAAGCAGATCAATGGAACAAAATAGATAACACAAAACAAACCCTAGAACTCATAAGGAGTATGTGGTAAAAGTGGAATCATAAATTATTGGACACACAAAGATGAATTTTTAAAAAAAATCCTGCTGAGACAATTGATTGTTTTAGAAAATAAAACATGTATCTTGTTACTCTACCAAGCCCTAGGAGAATAAAATATATAATTATAACATAGTCAAACAAACAAAAAAAACAAATTCAAAAATATATACCTATCAATAACAATAGCTACCTTTTATTCAGTACTTACTATGTGTGAGGTAGTATGAAAAGAGCCATGCATATCTGTCTGTCTATATCTATATCTATATCTATTTATATAGATTTAAAGATCATTTCATTATTACCAAAATACTGTGAAATGGGTACTATTATTTATACTCTTATTTTACAAATGAACAGAGTCCCAGAGAGACAGGACCTTGTTCTAGGTATCAGCTAAACAGTGTCAGAACCAGAATTTCAATTCAGATAGGTCTAACTCCAAGTTCTACTATATTCTACTGCTACAAGTATCTGGGAGAGAAAATTGTGAAGTCAGATGCAATTGAAGAATGAGATATAAAAACATGTGCTTTATAAGATTTAAAGATTTTTTTTGATGGCAGGACCTAGCACAATGTCACCAGGATAGATGAAACACAGAACTTTTTTTGTCACTAACAGCTCCAAAGGAGAGAGGGCTGCAAGGCGCTGTAAAGAGAGTTGCACCTGGGGACAGGGTAACAGAAAGCTGGAGCTATAGGAGGAAGCTTCTGTATGGCATGCAGGGTGGGGTTAGCTAGATTTCACAGGTTTCTTACAAAGTAGCTGATTTCAATAGTTTGAATTTTGGTGGGCTCTGGGGCATAGGAGCTATCCCTACTTGTCTGGTACATAGCTTCAGGTGATTAGTGTACTAGAATGTGAAAGTCCAGTTAAGGAAGTGGTTGGGTATGGACTTAAT